CGGAGGCCTCAGGGCTGCCACGTTGCTCTCCGGGCGGGGCAGGGCTTGGTGAGCCGCCCTTCGTAAGGTCCCCAGAGCCGGCCGAGGCAGACAGGGTCAGGGGTGGGAGGAGGAAGAAGAGCCCCGGAGGAGGGGCCACTCCCACTTGGTAAAGAGAAAGAGATTAAAGTCTTTGGTAACTTAGAATTTTGGAGTTCTGCTAGGCTAAATAATAAACATTAAGTAGCTAGGTGTTTTGAAATAACAGGATACTGAAATATTAATCTGAGTTCTCTTAATAGAGAAGCTAGAGCAGTGGTTCTCAACCTTGGCTGCACATTAGAATCACCTGGGAATCTTTTTAAAATCCTGATTTCTGGGCCTCATCCTCCGGAAATTCTGTTTCTTTGTTACTAATGTTGTGGCCCCACCCCATAACAATTATTATTGCTCATTATAATTACAGCTTCCACATGGGTCACAATTAAGCAGCACCCCTAATACTACAGTGGCTTTGAGACTCTCCAGTCAGGCTGGAGAATTCTGAAAACCCTTTGGGGGGTGAAAGAGGTTTGGTAGCTTGTGGACCTTCACAATGATGGGGTCTGTCTTGTGGTTTGCAGAAGGAGATACCAGAAAGGCAGTGGGGCCACTGGAGAGTGTGAAGGGAAAAGGAGACAATGTAATGCATTATCTAGGGAAAGGGTTGGATTTCAAGGGTTTGGGATAGTGCATGGCATATTTGTCTACTTACCCAAACTGTAACTGGACAATCAATGGGTCCATGCTGCCTGTCACTACTTGAGTCAATTAAGCAGAGACAGGGTTGAATTATATATGAGTGTTTATCCCAATACTGCCAGCAGTATGGGAGAGCAACAGGTCACCCACAAAAATCTGCTCTGCACCCCACCATAAGCCAGCTGCTTCTATTGGGTAGAGAGACAAAGATTACATGGGGAAGTTGGCAAAGGGTATGCCAAATGGGCAGTTTACAGGTAATATGGACTGGAGATTTGCAAAGGCCTGTGGGCATGCAAAGGCTGGGGGTCTTCAAAGAACTAGTGATATGCAAAGGGCTGGGGGGGCGGGGGTCTTCAAAGGGCTAGCAATTCTGGTTTCTGCAACAAGATTGTTAATCTTTCAGCTCCCTGATGGGGAGGATGGGCTGCATTTCCAGGTGAGCTCCCAGCCAGGTTAGAATGTGCCTTCTTTAACGACAACCGCGCTCTCAGCCACCAGCCCGCTTTGCGCGCGCACCTCCGCACCTGAGTTTTTTCCACACTGCGCCTCCTCTGAGCCTCGGTGTGCTGTTATTTTTCCTTCTAGTTGAAGAGTCTCTCCTCAGCCAGCCTTCCTGTGGTTCTGGGTGATGTCCGTTCCGTCTTTTAGTTGTATTTTTGGAGTGGTTGTTTGCGGCAGCAGTCTGCGGTGTTTACCTATGCTGCCATCTTGGTCTCTCCCCTAATATTTCTTATAATTATAGCTGGCCCCCAATATTCTATTTTTGCCCCTATCAAAACTACACCATTCAGCTACTCATGGGTCAAACTGACTGTATTACAGGATAATGTAACATTCTCCTGACTAGAATGTTACTGAATAAAGAAGGGAGATCAAATGAAGGGCACTTTTTCCTTCAGCCACCTTGTGTAAGTTTCCTTACAAATACTTTTTTTGGCCAAAAAAATACAGCCAGTAGAAATATCAAGTTTCATGGAGCATCTTGGTGAGCTTTTGCTGCAAGACTTTGGTAATAACACTAACACCGAGCAGTCCCTGGGGACTGCCACACACCAGTCCCTTTGCAGAGATGCTTGACTCCACCTTACTTGCTTCTCACCTGGCTGATCAGAGGGACCAGCTGTGATACAGGTAAGCTCTTTCAATAAAGAGTCCATTTATTTGGGAGAAATTGTTGGCCATGAACATGAACTGGAAAGCCAAATGACCAATAATGTGACTGAAGTGTTTAGATATCCACCCCAACTGTATCGAGTTCCTTTACACGTATGTGTCTCTGTAGAGCTAGTTCATTGACTCCTCATAGTTTTCCTGTAAAAATGAGATGAGAAGGGCATAAGCCCTGGAGGCAATACCAGGATGCATGGCTGGAATTTTCTGTTTTGGCATAGTGGATAATCATCTTTAGTAGTGTGAATTTCTCTTTTCTGTTTATTTTGTGTTTTCCTGTTAAATAATAAAACTTTGTAAGAATATTGCACCCGCTTCAATTTAATTTAGTGAATGCACTAAATACTTATTGGGTGCCTAGGACATGTTGAATACCATGATGGACATATGAAAGACAAAGAGGACCTTAGCCCTGCCCTTTGGGACATTACCGTCTAGTATGGATAGTAAGATTTTGCATACAGAAACTAAAAAGCTAAGTAGACCAGGTTATAAAAATATTTTTAATGATGGAGAAATGCTTATAAAATAGTGTCATGAGGAAAATTAACCTGGACACTAAACAGTATATACAAATTTAGTTCTCCTAAAAAGATTGAAAGAGAATATTCCAGAATGACAACAGTTCTCTGAGTGACAGACTTAAAAGTGATTGTAATATTCTTCTTTATTCTTTTCTATTTTTTCAAACTTAATTTTTAAAAAATGAATCTGTGTTGCTATGCATCCCCTTTGGAATAGCAACTATATCTCTACAACAATACTTTAAGGGTGATATTGGATATATGTACAAAGATGTAAATACAAGATTATTTTTGAAACTCAGTGTATAGTATCTAGAAATAAAAAACCTTCTAAAAGCCCATCCAAGAAAATTAGATAGATCCATTATGGAGCATATGAAAATGGATTATGTAAGTCTAAATTTATTGACATAGGAAACATCTACAACCTATTGCTCAGTATGTGTAGTATGGTCTCATTTTTGTGGAGGGAGAAAGAAAATGTGTATGTAAGTGTACACATAGTAGAAACTCTGGAAATACATGTCTCAGAGCATTGGGCACCAAGGATGGGTTTGATGGGCATAGTCTTCCCTGGAAGTAGAAAATAAAAGGAGTACATGGTATATCTATGAACAGTAATAAAACCCATTAAAATCAGCCTTCTTATTACCATCTCCAGCAATTCTAAACAACAACAACAACGAAGATGGCATATAAGTCTCAGCTGCCTGAATTGTCCATGGGTCCCCTATTCTTATGAATGTACACATGTAATAAATTTGATTATTCCCTCCTGTTAATCTGTGTCATGTCAATTTGATTATTAGGTCAGCCAGAATAACTTAGAGTAGAAGGAAAATTACTTTTCCTTCCCCACGCCTATTTTTATCCATTTGGGAAGGATCACTCCATAACTTCCCAGATACACCTGTATATCTTCTAGTCATACCCCCTCCACTGTTGACTTTTCCCCAGCAATACCCGGAAAGGCCAGTGACCGTTGGCTTGTGAAGTTGTCACTGACCTCTCAGATTTCATCTCAGGGCAGACTCATCCAAATGAATTTAAATGTGACTCCCTTAGAGAAAGAGCTTTGTATATTAGATAAATAGAATTCTAGGTTCAAACACATCTGCATAGGATCAGCCTGAGTGAACTTGACTCAGTGGACATCCCATAAGGAATGCTGAGGTGCTGGAAGTCTCTGCTAAGGGACTTAGCACCTTTGCTAAGGATGTATCTGGTGGGTGTGGAGTCTGGAGGAGGTGTCTGGGGGGCCTTCCTCAGATCTG